GGCGGCCATCCCCCACCCGGTTTGAAATGGCCACCCCAATACACTTCGCACCCCGAAGTAGTCCCGCTTCCACGCCGGGACCTTGTTGAGAAGTTCATGTAAGAGCTTAAAACCCAGGCGAGGAGACAGGTAATACGCCCGCCTACGCCCGGGAAGGGGACCCGCTTGCTTCTTAAGCATTAAAATGAAAGAGAAGATCTCCAAGTCTAAAGGAAAGCCCTGTTCGCAAAATAGGGAGATTGTCCCCACCAGGTTACGAATGGAGTTCGAGTGAAACTGGCCGACAATAATGCCGAAGTGGTTCATGACCTCGACAAGGAGGGGGTGGAAAGGCAGTCGCAGCCCTGTAGTGAACTGCTCCCGAAATATCACGATCTCATTAGGACCGTGTTCCCAAGGAAAGCTACCCGAAGGTATGAAGTAGGYGTACTCCCCAGGCAAGTTGTAATAGGTAAAGGGATTGGAGCCCCTCAAGCATCATGGTCGAGGGACCAAACTTGTCTAACGTCCGACCTCGACGAGAGGTGGACGCCAAACTACCCGAGGCGACTCGGCCTATGGGTTCGAACTCTTCCTCGAGCTCTACCTCCGGTTCGCTAGGACCATCAGGGGATGCAACTCGATTCGTAGAACCTGCATCTGACCCACTTGAAGAACCGTCTGAGCTATCCGAGCTAGACATCGAGGAGGGAAGATGGATTCCAGGAAAGTACTCACTCGGAAAAAGGCTTGAACGGACTACGAGAACTTGAACACGAGCAAAAAACCTTGAATGCGAACTAAAAGCTTGGACGCGAGCTGAAACTTGGACGCGAGCTCAAGAAGCAAAGCGCAAAAGTGACAAAAGCAACTGGGGTCCCCCACTATTTATACCCGCAGTAACCAAGAATCAACAGTTCATATCAAAGCCAATCCGACGACCCGCAGCCGCAATGACCGCACGTCTCCTGAGACCAAGACGTGACTGGCCACACGTCTCTCGAAACTAACCGCACGTCTCCTCATATTAAAGGCGGCAACGGCACGTTTTCAAATTTGAAAAGACACCCGCTGTCGCATCTCCCAGCGGCGCGCTTTTTGAATTTTGAAATTAGGCGCGCTATCACGTCTCCCAGCGGCGCGCTTTTTGAATTTTGAAATAAGGCGCACGCTGTCACGTTAGTCAGCATTTGAAGGAAGATCGACACGTCTCCCGTCTTTTGGGCGCTCGAGAAACCCAAAAGAATCCTGGCAACGCACCTCGCGCTATCACTCAACCGATTCGAAGTACAGGACAAATCCACCCGCCACCTCGCGAACTCCCTGCGCCAGGGCCAGACCCTTAGCACGAGGAGTGGGGGGCAATTGATGAAGGAAGATTTGGCCCAACCTCGTAATCACTCAACACGTGGCAAAGGCAACAGCTCGGCATAACAGCTCGCCAAAGCACGAGCTCCAAAGGGAGGAACCAACGGTCCGAACTCTCTGCAAGGAGCCCGAACTCCCAGTACGGAGCCCGAGCTCTCCCTTGGGCCCCAAGCCTTATGAACACAAAGGGCAACAACCCGAACTAGCCTGCCCCATGGCAGTTCGGGCCACACCTCTCTCCGAACTCAAGACTTCGCCTCGCACACCACTCCAGCACTTTGCCCCCAAGACACCGAACTGAACAAACCGTACCTGACACCGAAGGAGTCCGTATCCAGGGGCGGCGCACCTGACTGACTTGGGAT